GGTTGAGGTGCCCGGGCCAATGAGGACCGCTTTCTTTTTCTTTTTCCCAAAGCAAGCCCGGGTCATAAAGCTTTTTTTGCAAAAAGGGAGAAGAGCCGTCCTTTTTTGCTTTTTCCAAAGCAAGCCCGGGTCATAAAGCCTTTTTTGCAAAAAAGGGGGAAGAGCCGTCCTTTTTTCCACGGCTGAGTTTCGTTTTTGTCCGTCTCAAGAGGCGATCTTGAGAGTTACTAAGAGGTTACAGAGTTGATGTGCTTGGGTCTGAGAAATAGCACCAGCGCCTTGCAGAGTCTTTCTTTCTTTCTTTCTTTCTTTCTTTCTTTCTTTCTTTCTTTCTTTCTTTCTTTCTTTCCTTAGTTACTTAGTTACTTAGTTACTTTCTTACTACCCCATTAGTGCAATGCACTACTCTGGGTGGTTTACAACATCGGTAGGACCCCCTGTATGGGGGGGGATTCTAATGTTCCCTTCCCACCCACAGATTCTGAAAAGAAAAACAGATTATAGCAAACGCTTTTTAAATAGCCAACGCTGTACGTTGCACGTATAGTAACACGTTCTGGTAACTTCATCTTTGGAAATACACATTTCTGGCATTTTTCTTTTAATGTTTTCAGACCGTGGATAAGTGAATGAGCGGATATTGATCCCATGGATGAAAGGGTCCTACTGTACTAAAATAACAGCCAGCAGTCGTAGGGCTATGATGAACAAGGCAATGGACCAAAAAACATTGCAAAGTGTGCAAACATCACAAGAAGCATGAATTCTTGTAAAAAGCTGGAAAGCAAAGCGTGAAATCAAGCAGGGATGCCATGAAGGGCCAACTCTCAAAAGCAGTGCTTCCAGAGTGTAAGGGCCACGTGTAAGGCCCGGCCTCTGGTGGATGGTTTTAGTGCCCCCCCCCCGGAGGAGCCTTCCCTGGGAGGATCTGGTGGAGCTGGTCGGTGACCGTGCGCAAAGCTGTTTGGACAAGAACTATACCATCACCTGGGATGCAACAGATTCTTGTTGTTTGAAGTCCCTTCCAACTTAGGGTGACTCTTCTTCAAGGTCTTACAGGCCCAGCCAGCAAGTGGTTAGATCCTGCACCTCAGCTCAACTTGGACTCAGCTCAGGATGCCCACCCCCCCACAAGATGCATCAGCCACAAGATGCTGGTGTTGGGAAAGTGTGAGGCCAAGAGGAGAAAAGGACAACAGAGGACGAGATGGTTGGACAGGGTCATCAAAGCGACCAGCATGACTTTGACCCAACTCCGGGAGGCAGTGGAAGACAGGAGGGCCTGGCGTGCTCTGGTCCATGGGGTCACGAAGAGTCGGACATGACTAAACAACAACTACTGAAGACTTGCTGACATCCGTTTAGAGCCCTGTCACAAAAAGCTTTATGGGTGACTTTTACTGATCATCAAATATCTCTCAAAAGGACGGGGTTTCCCCAGACCAGAAAGCCATCCTTGCTCCTAAGCATTCATAGTAAAACAGCTTTCAGTACAGCTCTCAAAAATGTAACTGCTGATCTGAAATTCCTTTCAGCAGAACCTTCTTATGAGTCAGAGCACTTCCTCTTCCACGGAGTTCCTTAAGACCCAAGATGGGTTGGTGAACTAAATAAGTGGAGGGCGAGGAATTGAACCACTTCTCCTTAGTCTAACACGACAGTCTAGGGTGGGGGGCAGCTTCCAGATGTTGCTATCAGCCCTGCACAGCTTAAGGGGTGATGGGAGCAGCAGGCCAAGAATATTTGGACAGCCACAAGCTCACCCCTTCTCTCACAATTTCATTGTAGAGCTGTGCTTCCCAACTTTGGCATGTTCTTGGACTACAACTCCCAGAAGCCTTTACCACCAGCTGTGCTGGCCAGGATTTCTGGGAGTTGAAGTCCAAGAACATCTGGAGGCCCAAGGCTGGGAGCTGGTGCTCTATAGTTTTCTTGCTGGGAAGAGTATGGCATAAATAGAAGAAAAACAAATGGCTGAACAGGATAAGGGTTACGGTGGGCTAGGAAGTAAGGAAAAAGTGTGTGACTTTAAGTAAAGTTTGCTTTTGAGGGGGAGGAGGCCAGTTCTAAAGACTTGATTGCCTGCTAATTGCCCTGGCAGATGGGAATGGCCCTTAAATAGCCATGGGCTGAAAGCAGAATAGCCTTGGGCTGAAAGCAGAAGTTGGTAACTAAGGAGAGAATAACAGTACTTTGATGGACAAAAGCTTTGCCCTGGAGGCAGTTGAAGTGTGTGGGATTCAGAGCAGCAGCCACAGCATCCTCCTTGGCCTGGAGTTAATTTACAGTCATAAAATAGTCAGCTATGTTGTTTAGTCCTTAAGTTGTGTCCGAATCTTCGTGACCCCATGGACCAGAGCATGTCAGGCCCTCCCGTCTTCCACTGCCTCCCGGAGTTGGGTCAGATTCATGTTGTTGCTTCGGTGACACTGTCCAACCATCTCATCCTCTGTCGTCCCCTTCTCCTCTTGCCCTCACACTTTCCCAACATCAGGGTCTATTCCAGGGAGTCTTCTCTTCTCACCAGATGGCCAAAGTATTGGAGCCTCAGCTTCAGGATCTGTCCTTCCAGTGAGCACTCAGGGCTGATTTTCTTCAGACTGGATAGGTTTGTTCTCCTTGC